TCCACCAGCTTCTCCTGTCCTTATGATCCACCACGTCTCTTCTCCCCCTCCTCCTCCACCAGTTTCCCCCTCCTCCTTCTCCAACACCTCCCTTCTTCCCTCCTCCTTCTCTACCAGCTTCTCCCCTCCTCCTTCTCCACCACCTTCTTCCTTCTCCCCTTCCTCCTCCACCAGCTTCTCCCTTTCTTCTTCTCCGCCACCTTCTCCCTTCTCCCCTTCCTCCTTCTCCACCAGCTTCTCCATTTCCCCTTCCTCATTCCTAGCCTATTGAGTCGGCCCATACGGCCGCCGTGCGTATAGCCATATTGAATCTTATCCACACGGCCGCCGTGCGTATAGCCATATTGAATCTGGCCCACACGGCCGACGTGCGTATAGTCACTTCCATCACTAATGCACTATCGCTCATACTCATAGGGTCTATGTCCCCCAGAGATATACCGGTATACCGGAGCGTACCCTGGTCACTATTTGATATGGTTAGGGTTAGGATTAGGGTTAGGGTTAGGGACATGTTTCGGGTTAGGGTTAGGGTTAGGGAGTAGGCGACTCACTAGACTCGTTAGTGGAGTAGGCGAGGTACGGTCCGGCATATTAGATAGTACCAGGGTACGTTCCGGTATACCTGACCGTACCAAAGTACGTTCGGCATTACCCGGGGGACATAGACCCTCTCAGCATCACTATCAGTATCACTACTCACTATCACTATCAGTATCGGTGAGAGGGTGGTCTATGTCCCCCGGGGTACTGCCGGAACGTACCGGCTGCCGGCTGCGGGGTTCTTTTCTAGCTGAAACTTGCTGTATAGACTAGCTAATGCAGTGCATTGATTCAATGGTAACTACTAACTTACCTTAGTCAGACAAGACAGCAAAAGTTAACTAGTTGTACTGCTGATAGGGTCTATGTCCCCCGGGGTACTGCCGGAACGTACCCTGGGTACGGTCCGGTATACCGGAACGTACCCTAGTACTATATTAATTATTATTATATGCCGGACCGTACCTCGCCTACTCCACTAACGAGTCTAGGGAGTCGCCTACGCCTACTCCCTAACCCTAACCCGAACCCGAACATGAACCCGAACCCTAACCCTAATCCTAACCCTAACCATATCAAATAGTGACCAGGGTACGTTCCGGTATACCAGACCGTACCCAGGGTACGTTCCGGCAGTACCCTGGGGGACATAGACCCTATGAGCAGTAGTACTAGTAGGCCTAGTATTGATGGCTATAATATAGCATAACAAATGACATTATTACAGTTACAGTTATACTGGTTCTATAATCAGGGATGAGATTCCGCGGAAATCCGCGGATTTGACAGTCCCAGGGGTCGATTTTGTGAAACGTCTAAATTCGTTGAGAAAATTGGTGGGGGGGGGGTGTAACAATGTAAAAATTTAAATTATATTCCCTCAACAGCACCTGACTGTAGACTGTAGAGTGTAGACAGTAGACTGACAGCGAAGTATACAGTGTATCTGTTTTTGTGTACCAGAACAGAAAATCCTCATTCACAGGCTGCAGTAGAGGGGCAGACATTTGAGGTAGCTGATCACGTAACGACCATGCTTGGCCTGGGGGCCGGGTTTACATGTTTCTGTGTGCATGTTGTGTGCATGACTATGCACTGATTGTTCCATTCGCATTGGATTTTTTTCATTCAAATCTCGTCGCAGCAAGGCAGCTTATGTCTGATTGATGTCTGTATTATTGATAGATCTGAGTCTGTCGACGGACGTTCTGCTTGGAAATTACGAAGGTCCGAGCGTGAAATCGGCAGGTCCCAGACCTCGGACTTGCAAGCCCTATTTTCAGCCCCCTGATTTCCTATTCATAGTTCGTTTGTTTCTTTTGACAACTTGAAAAAGTGATTCAAGAGTCTCCTATAAATAATGTGTTTAGAATAGCTTAGAATGCACCAAATTGCACCATTCTTTTAAAAAAATTCCAGGGGAACATGTCCCCAGACCCCCTACCATGGCGATGACCTACGGTCCTCGCATTTCTCGCTCCTCTGTTTGCTAATTTCAATTTCAGCTGAAAATTAAATTCTCCAATCTCATCCCTGTATAATAGATTATAAACAGATAGTGTATCAAATAAGAAAGAAAATTTAATATTTACACTACCAGGGTTCTCCCCAGGATGAAATTCAAACAGGGGGGAGGGAAGGGGGAGGGG